AGGCCTCTTGGGGGGCCTGTTGGGCCGTCTTGGGGAGCCTTTGGGCCGTTTGGGGACTTCTTTTGGGCTCCTGGGGGCCTCGTGGGCCTCTCTGGGCTCGTCTATCGCGCCCCTTGGGCTGTCGTGGGGCCCCCTAGGGCCTTCTTGGGCAGTCCTCGGGCCGTCTTGGAGCCATCTTGGGCCGCTCTTCGGGCCATCTTGGGGTCCCGTTGGCCTGTCTTGGGCGCCTCTGGGGCCGTCCTGGGGCCGCCTTGGACCGTCTTGGGGCCCTCTTGGACCGTCTGGGGGTCCTCTGGGGGACCTCGTGGACCGTCTTGAAGCGGTCTTGGATGCCTCCGGGGGGGTGTCGGAGCGTCGGGAAGCCGAAAAAGCGAGGAAGCAAAAAACCTCGGAAAAAAAAGCAAATGAAAAACAACGATTTTGGCCTCTCGGGGCTCTCTTGGGAAGCCTCTTGGGGGGCCTGTTGGGCCGTCTTGGGGAGCTCTTGGGCCGTTTGGGGACTTCTTTTGGGCTCCTGGGGGCCTCGTGGGCCTCTCTGGGCTCGTCTATCGCGCCCCTTGGGCTGTCTTGGGGCCCCCTAGGGCCTTCTTGAGCGGTCCTCGGGCCGTCTTGGAGCCATCTTGGGCCGCTCTTCGGGCCATCTTGGGGTCCCGTTGGCCTGTCTTGGGCGCCTCTGGGGCCGTCCTGGGGCCGCCTTGGACCGTCTTGGGGCCCTCTTGGACCGTCTTGGAGCGGTCTTGGATGCCTCTGGAGGGGTTTCGGAGTGTCGGGAAGCCGAGAAAGCGAGGAAGCAGAAACCTCGGAAAAAAAAACAATAAAAATTTACGGTTTGGGCCTCTCGGGGCTCTCTTGGGAGGCCTCTTGGGGGGCCGGTTGGGCCGTCTTGGGGAGCTCTTGGGCCGTCTTGGGCCAATCTCGGGCGTCTTGGCCGGATCATTGCGCGTCTCGGGGCCCTCTTGGGCCGCCTTCGGGGCCTCGTGAGCGGGTCGGAGCCGTCTTGGAGCGGCTCGGAGCCGTCTTTGGGCCGTCGGGGCGGCCTCCGGAGCGTCTCGGAACCGTTTCCCGGCATTTGGCCCTTTTTCCTTCGGGCACGCGGTTCCTCCGGCCATATAGTATAGACTAGGGCTGACCCGTGGACTACCGTCCACGAGTGCCAGCAGATTGAGCGTGCGCTCGTTGCTGCTTATTGCTTCAGGGTGCGCTGTTTGTTTGATGATCCTGACGGCGTCTGGAACAGCGCTAGCAGCAGCAGCAACAGCAGCAGCAGCAGCAGCAGCAGCAGCAGCAGCAGCAGCAGCAGATCCAGCACCATCGGCAGCAGCAGGTCCAGCAACACCAGAAGCAACGCGGACCTCCGGGGGTCTCCCGGGGGCCTTCTCGTCCTCGTCCTCGTCCTCGTCCTCGTCGTCGTCGTGGTCGTCGTCGTCGTGGTCGTCGTCGTGGTCGTCGTCGTGGTCGTCGTCGTCGTCGTTGTCGGCGTCGGCGCCGCTGTCGTCGTCGTCGTCGTCGTCGTCGTCGTCGTCGTCGTCGCTGTCGTCGTCGTCGTCCTCGTCCTCATGCTCCTCCTCCCCTCCGCTCGCCCTCCTCCTCCGTCTCATCCCCTTCCTCCTGTCCAGCCTGCGGTTCCGAAGCGAAAAGTCTCCGGGTTTAGGGTGTTATATTCTTCGAGGATCAGGGGGAGTTTATCGTGGAATTGCGACTCCCCGAAGGGGGGCAGCCTACGGCTGCATGGGCAACCCAGTCTGGCAACCAGCTGACGCTTCTCAGAGATGCCCTGTCTCTCCTAGACGGCGACGGTGATGCGTGGCGGGTGGGCAGAGGCACAACGATGTGCTTGGGAATTTAGGGTTTAAGGTTTAGGGTTTAGGGTTTCTCGGGCGCGCAGCGGCCGACAGTCTGGGCAAGGCTGCCCCCCCTTCGGCAGACTTGATTGGGGGGGCGTTTAGCCGACCCGATCTAGCCTGCCGACGACGCCAGAGCTGCAACCACTTCCCACCCCCGGCCGCATGGCCGGCGACCTCCCGGCCTTTTAGGGATTAGGGCCGCTGGCCCCTAAATTCCCCAATGGGCGGCAGCGGGAAGGATTCTGCGGTGGGGCGCGGTCGCCGGGCGTTGAACCCTCCCAGGCGTTCCCAGGCGTTCCCTGGCGTTCCCTGGCGCTCTCAAGCGCTCCCTGGCGCTCCCAGGCGCTCCTCGGCGCTTTCCATCGATCCTACATCCACTCGATATTCGATCGCCAATCGTTGACGCTACGACCGCTTCCCAAAAAGGCAAACATCCGAGGCTCTCGTGACGTCCAGAACGGCTGGCTCTCTGGGGCCTGCGACGTGCCCGTCGCCCCCCCGTCCGGCCCCCTTTTAGGAGGCTTGCTTGAAGCCACGTGGGGCCTATTGGGAGCCGTTTGTGAGTCGTTTGGGGGTCCTCTTCGGCGTCTCTGGGGCCTCGTGGGGCCGTCTCGGGTGCCTCTTAGGCAGTCTTGGGGCCGGCTTGGGGCGTTTTGGGCGCGTCTTGGGGCCGTCTTGGGACCGTTTTGTGCCGTCTTGGGCCGCTCGTCGGGCAGTCTGGGGTGCCTCTTTGGGGTTGTTTGGGGCGCCCGTTGGACCGTCTTGGAGGAAGCTGCTGGAGGCCTTCCGGGAGCCCGTGGGGTATCAGAAGGAGGAGGAGGAGGAGGAGGAGGAGGAGGAGGAGGAGGAGGAGAACGAACGAACGAACGACTCTGCAGAAGGGTGCCAGATGATCCTGCAGCAACGCGGGGAACTCCGAAGCCATAATTAATGTAAGCTCCGAACTGACTCGCTTCTAGAGGGCGCAGTGACTCAATATAATCAGGTCACGCGTGGCACTAGGTGCACTCTGCTCCCGCCCACCTTACCCCACCTCGGCTGGAGGGCCCGAAGCTTTGAAGGCAGGGCACGGCCGTGGGGTCGTGGGTCGAAAATCGGGGACGAAACTTCGAAGCTCTAGCAGAAAAAGCAGAGCAGGGAGGCCCAGCCTTATCAGTCAGATCCTCGCCTCGCGAATTTGGATTCACAGTCAACTGCGACTCAGGCTGGCCCGAGCGGCCCCAAGGGGGGGCCGCGGGAAACACTCAAAGCTAAAAAGTTACGGCCCTGGGGGTGGACCTTCGCGCTTTCTGAGACCTAGAAGACCCAAGACTCTGGTGAGAGGGATCGGAGGAGGAGGAGGAGGAGGAGTCTGAAGGTCGGGAGAGGCGACAACGACGGCGAGATTATTCGGCCTAGTCGAAGTCATCGGACCAGGTGTAGCCGAACTCACTGAAGACGAGGCCGAGGGAGGTGGTCGAGTAGCTCTCTGGGAACGCGGAGTTCGTGATCTCCTCTCCGTCGGAGCCGCCATCAGCGATGTAGTCGAGATCAGGGAACGAGGAGGGGTGGCCATCAACGGCGTGGTCAAAGTCGCCAACCGTCCAGTCGATAGCCTCTGTGATGCATGCCCCTCGGCTGCGTCGGACCCGCTAGGTCGGTACCCTCTGCTCTCCCGTGTCGGCTCGGAGAGTGAGCAGTGCGTGCCTGCGGGCCCTTCCTGCTCGGACCTGCTAGGTCGGTACCCTCTGCCTCCGAGCTGCGGCTCGGGAGGTGAGCAGTGCGTGCCTGCAGGCCCTTCTCCTCTCACTGCCTCCAGCAGCCTGGCCACTACTGCGCGTCGAGGTGAATCTGCAACAGCCTGGCGTTGTGGGTGCGTGGAGGCGCCCCGTGTTTGTGAACCCCCCCGAGCTGCACCAGAGCCGCTACGACCGTGTCCTCTATGCCCGTCGCTTTGGCCTCGATCCAGATCTTGACTTTGTCCTGCGCGTGGGTCGTCTGCAGCCGGCAGTGCCGAACCTGGTCGGCCAGCTCGCCGTTGGAAATGGGTGCCGCTTTCATGCGATCCTGGTACTCCTTGATCTGCCTCGCGTTGGCCTGGCCCACCTTGTCGCCCTGTCCCACGAGAGCGCCCACTAGCGCGACCCACGCGTGTGGATGAGGGATCCCCAACGCCTCGAGCTCGGGGACGGGGTCGCCGTTCTTGAGGGCGGCCTGGTTCGCCTCGCGAAGGCGCTTGGCCTCCTGCCCGTCGTGCCGCGCCGTGAGCATCATCGACTGGGGCACGTCGTGGTTGGCAGGAAGCTGGACGTGACGGAAGATGGCCGACTCGAGGGCGTTGATCGCCTGCTCGTGCCTGAGGGACATGCGCATCAGGATGGGCATCATCTGCTGCACCTGCTCGATCGGGATGGGCGGAAGGTTCCTGACGTCGTCCTCTCTCAGCCCGTAGTGGTTGTCGGTAGCGCCCCACACGTCGATCTGCTGCTGCGGGGGCTGACCTGCCCCTGGAGCCGCGGCCGCGGGGCCAGCTCCGCGCTGCGGCGGAGGGGCTCCCCGAGCGCCTCGGCCTCGGCGGTCTCCACTCCGAGTCCGATCGCCTCGCCCTCCCTCGAGATCGCGTCGCCTCTGCTCTGTCCCAGTGGCGAGAGCCCGCTCCGCCAGGCTCGACATCCAGCACAAGATCGGGGGCGGGCGGCGCGTGGGCTTCTCGGATGTGTGCCTGAAGTGCCTGCAACGTCTGAAACGGCTCTTGAGCCAGCGTGGCCTCGGCCAGTCCCTCCCTGAAAGCCTCGTGAGCAGACTCTGGATCCACGCAGATCGGACAGCGGAGGTCGTCGGGCACAACCAGGGGGGGTGAATACGCACTGAAATCTGCGAGGCAGCGGCGACGGCGAAGTGACTGAACCACGCGCCTCTTGGCCAGCACCACCGACGAGAAGGTAGAGGAGCAGTAGCAGCACTGGTTAGTCACCACAAGCTGGTGCATCGGGACCCTGATATTGTGCGACGGGTGGTGGCACTGATGCGCTCTCAAGGCCGCTCTGGAGTAGAAGACGTGCCCACAGGGGTCCCCGCTCTCGCCCGGGAGGTCACAGTAGAATTCTTGAGGAGGGGCTTCAGGGACTGGTGGAACCTCTGGTGGAACCCCGTGCTGAGGAGGAGGCCGAAGGGGTCCTTCATGTTCCTGTTCCCAATAGGCCTTCCGAAAACCCTTGCGACTCACGCTCCTGAAGTGGCACGCAACACGGTAGTTCGTGAAGATGTCCCGAATCGAATAGCCTCTCGCCAGGAGCTGGTGCCCAGGGGGGATGACCGAGAGGAGCTTGATATCCTGCTGGAGCTGGAGGGCCCACGGATTAGCGCCAGACCGAATCCAACCATCGGGGGTGGACGTCGGAGACTCGCCCAGCGAAGAAAAGTGCCCGAAGAGCGCCGCAACGACCTGAACCGAATCGGCGGGGTACACCGCAAGGCGCTGCCAGTAGCCGAGGCGTCTGATCAAGAGCTCAGTCCTCGAGTCAGCGATGCGCAACCACTTGTGCATGACTCTCGCCGAAGGTGTCCGAATCCTATCTCCCTCTGGCCCTACTCTCTTGGCAACGCCTCTCATCGCCACCTTCGCGAATCCCAAGATCACCGAGTCGAGCTTGGCATAGTCCTTCTTGCCTAGGATATAGACCTCGAGGCCCGAGTAGGCCGCGCTGTGGATAATTCCCAAGAAAGCCATCCTCTTAAGCTTCAAAGACGAGCGCTGGTTCCAGAACCTCCCGAGCTTGGTCCAGGCAGAGCGCGCAGCGTCGACACGTAGTTTAATTTCAGCCCCCGAACCGCCCGTTAGGTGTTCAAGCCCTCCGAGGTAGACGGTTTCAGCCCGAGTTTGCCCTGGGAACTGGACGAGTCCTGAGAGCACGGCCCTCGTGGCCGTGTATCCTCCTGGGCCCACCAAAACTGGGAGGATGATCTCCATGTCCACATTCTGAGTAAACCCTCCTATCTCCTCGAGCTGATCTGACAAGATACGAGACGACAATTTTGCCCTCTCCGCTGCGTGGACGGGGTTGCCATTCGGCAGCGGCAGGGTCTGCGATACGTCATCGGCGTAGTCGCGCATTGAGATGTCGATCTGTTCAGAGTGGATGGGCGAGTCAATCAGCGTCGCCGCCTCCATCATCGGCACGGAGCCGCCGTTCGCTGTATCTAAGGTGGCCTGGGTGCCCTGCAAGAGGATCTGGTTCCACGCCTCCAGCGGCTTGACGAACGACCGCACGAACAGCTCGCACGCGTTGCCGTCGCCCATGCCCGAGCCGTGGGAGGGTTGGAAGAAGCCTTTCTCATCGCCTGCCTCAACCTCGATGACCGCCTCACGATGCCTCTGCTGCAAGAAGAGTTGGTCATGCATGTCGGGAATCACTTCCCCAATCACCTGCTCCAGCATGTCGTGATCTGTCGAAGGGAACGCGTTGCTCATGTCTTTTTTGATCTGCAAGTGGGAGACGAGCTTCTTTCGTAATCTCCAAGAGTGAAGTTTAGCAACCAACTGCGCGATCTGCCTCGACCTGCGCGCTGCATATCCATGTGCGCGTAATGGAAGTCGTGGGCGCTCATGTCGAACAAAAATGCCTCTGTACCAAGCCTTGCCAAACGGGCAGTAGCAGTGTATGAGTCTCATCGCCTTGGTGCCTCTCTTGCCATTGCCCTTGCTCAACTGGAACGTTTTGGACCAGTGCCACTGGTAGGGAGTGCGACACGTATTCCGAATCTGCCTCAGAATCTCAAAGATGCGCTCAGCCAGTCGTGGACAAGGGACCTGAACTCGCTGCCGTCGCTCGAGAGGGTCCTCATCAGCTGGTTCGCCTCGCGCTTCTCGAGTAGCAGCCCTCATCGCCATGAGCCGCACCTCGCTGGGGGCGGAGTGCCGGGGGGAGTACCTGCGCCTGGCCGCCTTCTCAAGACACTGCAGCGTGTTCGTCCAGTCGTCGTAGGCGGCCGATCCAGGTCGCCCTCGCAGATCCTTCCACTCCCCATCTGGGTCATCAATCTCTCTCGAGGCCAAAGCCACGCTGCGAGGAATGCCTGGTCCGCGTAGGCGAACAGCAGAGAAGCCCCCCTCCTTAGCGTCGGACTCCAGCGTGTCCTGCCACTCTTGCAACGTCGGGGCGTAAGTTGGGATCAGGTTAAACCGGCGTCTCCGCACCCCGTGATAGCGCGCCCCGATCTGAAAGGCGAGCTTCCATACGGTGCTGGTATGGACTCGATATGAGGCCACTTGCGCCTCCTTCAGCAGCGCCTCGACATTCTCTTTGTCCAGCCTGCGGCGGGCACGCTTGATCTCGCGATCGCAAGCACGGAGTCGAAGTCGATCTTCTTCCTGAAAGTGAACACTGAGCTGACGCCTCGTTGCCAAAAGTCGATCACGCTCTTCTCGATATGCAGCAGACGGCCCCGTCGTCTTGGTCTCCAGGAATTCTGTCCGCACTGCCTCTGTGACGTCCGCCACCAAGTGCAACCAAGAAAGTGAGGGGTCCTCTGCTCTAAGAAAACTTCGCCATGCGCTCGCCGAACTCTCGCACCGTCGCTCCAACTCCGCGATGAACTCGGGGGCGCCTCGCAGGTTAAGAGCCTGTCCCATGAGATCTCTGTCCCACCGAAGGCGCCGACCATCAGGATGAGGCGCAGTCTGAAGCCTGTAGTGTACTCGCCACAACATGGGGCAATGGTCTCGAAGTAGAGGTGAAGGTATACGTTGTAGGTCACGCGTCGCTCGTCGAAGACACACACGCGATCTGGTCGCCTGCACAGCGTCGCACGGTCCCCACAGGTGGTCGGGATGCGAGGTGATGTGAGCCTCGGCCCCGAAATATGTTGGCCCCGTGTCGTAAAAGGTGTCGATCGCAGCCAAGCCCTCCATGCTCATCATGCGCCACAGAGCGGCACTGACCCCGTTCTCGTAGCTGTTCGCGAACGGGCCGACGTGCACGTCGTCGCGCGTCGTCGTCGGGGTGCCGCTGGGCCCACTGCGTCGCCCAAACTCAGAATTCGTATCAGCTCCCACCACTATCATGCAGCGCGCTCGGGCACGCTGTATCGTCCGATGTAGCCACGCCGTGAGCTTGGCGCAAGTCGTGTTCCAGTGGTCGATCTGGTGCCTCTGCGGCGGCGGGTAGTAGGCCACCACCACCATTATGTCGAAGGTCGGGCTCTTGAGTCGAACTGCTCCGCCCCGCCCCGCCAGCTCGCGAGGAGGCTCGAGTACTTCATGAACGTGGGCCTCTCGAAAGACCCGTCGTCTCAGCATGATCGCGCAGCCCGCGCTCTTGTTTGTGTACCGCCCCCTCTGCCACCCGAACTGCACCATCATGTGTTTCTCGAGCTTCATCACCGTCGGGGCGTCTCCTGCGCGGCGCCGCTGCTGAGTCCCTGGCAGCAGAATAAGATCTGCAAAGCTCAAGCGAGAAGAAACGTCGTGTGCACGCCATGTGTCGCTAAGAGAGAGTGGATTATAGAGTACGGTTTGTAGGAGGGAAGCCCACATGATGGGCGGGAGCTGGGGCTGCAGGCGGAAGGGGTGTAGCCTGCATCAAGTCCTGACAGGGAGCCCCGATTCCCCTTGGTCTGAGCAGGAGGGGCTTAGGAGGAGGAGGAGGAGGAGGAGGAGGAGGAGGAGGAGGAGGAGGAGGAGGAGGAGGAGGAGGAGGAGGAGAGGAGGAGGAGGAGGAGGAGGAGGAGGAGGAGGAGGAGGAGGAGGGAGGAGGAGGATCAATCATCCGGGGCCTTCTTGGAGCATGTCAGAACCGTTTGCGGGGGAGCTGCGGGAGGCGTTCGGGGAGCTCTGGAGAGTGTCCCAGAGTCGGGCCAGGCGAAAGGGGGGGATGGCAAAGGGGGGGTTTGAGAATCAGCTCGCGTTTTTACCAGCGCCTCCCGGCGCCGGGAAGCGCCCATGTCTCGAGGAATGGGCCCGGCGGCGGGGCCGAAACCAGCTCCATGCAGCAGATTTCGTAGCCCCCCCTTTCCCAAACCCCCCCCTTTCGCCCGACCCGACAGAAGCCGTCTGGCAGCCTCTGGTGGGCTTCTGCGGGCTGTGCTGGCCGTGGGGACGGGGAGCGCTCCAGAGTTGGCTCTGCTGGGCTGTCCGGCCGTCTCGGGAATCCCTGGAGCCGTCCTGAGGGTATCCAGGGCCGTTGTCGAGACTCTCTTGGGAGCTCCCTGGGCGTCCTGGACGATACGGCAGGCTTCTCGGGGTGGGTTGGGCGTATTCTGGCCGGAGCAGCGATCGTGAGAGGAAACGCGGAGACAAAAAGCCTCGAGAATATCAATCGATTGTCGACCTCGCATGTTCCTGGAGGATCCCCTCGGAGCTCCGCGGAGGATCGCCGGGAGGCTGTCTCGGGGCGCCCTTGGGCTCTCGGAGGGCTCCCCGGAGGCCATCGTCGGCTGTCTGGGCCCTGTTTTGAGCAGGGACCGACCGTCCCGGCATTCCTATAGGCCTACCACGACATGTTACTAGAACCCACAAATGTTCTAAAAACAGCAACAATGTTCTTAGGACATGAACCCGACGAGTTACAAGAAGACCGTCGCAGCCTGAAATGTTCTAAGAACCTTTCGTGGAAACCACGAACGGTTCTTCGAACCTTGCTCGGTAGGCCCATCGGCGAACCAGGACGCTTCGCCACTGCTTGAGTTCTTGGGCCGTCCTGGGGCTCGCCTGGGCAAGGACAGAGCTTCGTTCCGTGGGCGGGGCCGCGGAAGCGCCGCCGCGCGCGGGCCCGGCGGGCGCAGAGTCAACGCCCCCCATCCGGCACGCGCAGTGCTGTCCAGTGTTAGGTCGGGGCTGTCCCCCCCACAAGGGAATTTGGACGACAAATCAAAAATACGCCAAAAATGCCCCCCAAATGTTCGAACATACGCCAACAAATCGTCCCCATACTATTTTTGTCGCTATGTTTGGATATCACTCCTGTAGATGGACAGGCCCGACTTCAATATAGTTGTATAGATGACGTTGGGTTCCACCTTCGCCTCCCGCATCTCGCTGCGCAGCGCCAAAGCCCGCTGCCACTGCTCGCCCCTCCCGCACGCGCTGGCCCCGGCGTTATAGCTGATGACGTCGGGCTTCAGCTTCGCCTCCCGCATCTCGCCGAGCAGTGTCAAAGCCCGCTGCCACTGCTCGCCCTTCTCGCACGCACTGATCCCGGCGTTGTAGCTGACTAGGGTGTACCAGTTGATTAAATCCACGGTGTGCTGAACCCCGATCGCGCACACCGAGACTGGGAGCCGCTGAAGCTGAACGGGGACAGCTAATCGGACGTTTCCTGCGGTGTGAGGAGGCGGAGGGAAGCGGGTGAGGCGGAAACGCAGATAGCGGGTCTGGCGGGCAAGACGACGGGTTCCCTCGTACCGCACACGGCGATGGCGACGGCGACGGCGAAGGCAACGGCGGCGGCGACGGTGACGGTGGAGGCTGCTGGCGCGCGCGCGCGAGCTGGCGGGCTCGCGCGAGTCGGCCCACCCGAACGACGACGACGACGACGACGACGACGACGACGACGTCGCCGTTGCCATCGAGGTGGCTCTCCATGGGTTTTTCCCGTTACCCCCCCCCCCCGTAACTATCAGAATCACATGGTTTTTTGCAATATTTCCCAAATGACGCTTATCGGAAGCGTTCAATGCAAAGCCGCCTGGGCAACGCCTACAGCGTAAACATGTTGAAATTTCCATGGGTTTGATATCAATCGGGGGGGGGGGCGCACGACTAAAACGCAGTAGAAAAGACGACGAAGGCGGAGGAGGAGGAAGAAGAGGAGGATGGTCAATCGAATTCAGTCGGGGAGCCAGAGGATTAGGATGGAGGAGGTGGAGAAGGGAGAGGAGGAGGAAGAGGAGGCGGAGGAGGAGGAGTTGGAGCAGCAGCATCAGTCCAGGAGGAGGGCTCGGTCCTGGGGGGGCTACAGAAGCGCCGCCCGCCCCTCTCCGAGGCGCTCGGTGGGACTACAGAAGCGCCCCGATCCTTTCCCCGAGGCGCTCGGTGTGACAAGGTTGCCCCCCCCTCGACTCATTGTAAGTAGGTCTTGTGTTCGTCTTTACAGAGATGGAAGTATAAGCAGAAATCCAGAAGAAACGCATCGGTGGGGCATCGATGTCCATCAGGGTTCGGACAAGGTTCCCCGGCAGCGCGTGCTGGCCGCGGAGTCTTGCAATGAAGCGGGATCGATGGAGAGGGTCCCAGGGAACCTGCGGCCCGAACAAAAAATTCATTGGATTCACGATGCACTGTCCCGTGTGTCACTTGCAATCGCCTGAAACGCATGGTGTTTTCGAGAATTGCCCGAACCTGTCGTGTTTGCAGGGTGCTTTCGACAATGTGGTCGGGGCGGGCGCCAGCAGTGATATGCTAATTTTCCTAACATGGATTTGGGCCGATTCGCAAGGACACACAGAGAAAACAGTGGGTTTCGGAGGTATGTGCGGCGATGTCATGGACGGGCTCACGTGGATGCTTTCAAAGCCTGCGGGGGTCCTTTTGGCAATGTCGCGGGGCTCTAGGGAGGCAGTGTGGGCCGCGTCGGCGACGGGGAGGAACAGCGCCACGGCAGGATGCCACAGCTCGCCCTCCTCGAACATGCTGGCATGGGCGCTGTGCCTCCAGGAGCTGGCGGATGCCAGCTTCAGCACCGACATCTCCGGGGCCATCGTGGCAGTTCCTGTGGCTGCCTTGGGTCTCTCTTGAGAGCCGTTTGGGGCGCTCTAGGGTCCCTCTTGACCCGGTAACGGGCTCTGCCGGGCCGTGCCGGAGGCCTTTTGCACTGTCTTGGAGCCATGTTGGGACCGCGGGGGCCAACTCGAAACCCGCTGGGGCCGGCTAGGGCCTTCCTGGGAGCCTCTCGGGCCGTCTGGGGCCTCTGCCACGTCCTCTTAACGCCCTCTGGGACAGGCTTGGGGCCGCGTTGGAATCGTGTTGCAGCCCTCCTGGGCCATCTCGGGGCGCTCTTGGGTAGCTCTGAGGCCGCTCGGGTCGTAATGGAATCGTCTTGGTGCCCTCCTGGGCCATTTCGGGGCGCTCTTGGGTAACTCTGAGTCCGCTTGGGTTGATCCGCAAGGCCCTTGTAGCCGTCGTGGGCGGTCCGGAGCTGGAAAAAAGGAGGGCCAGAAAAAACATAAAAAACACGGAATCCAGAAAATCTGCCTCCGGAAACATTCCCGCGGTGTGTCTGAAGGTTGTCTTGGGGCGTCCTGCCCCAAGAGGGGTCGCAGAAAGCACCTGGTGGATGCTACAAGGAGGGGGTAGGTTGTAGTATCCATGTGGTCGCCGATTCGGGCTCTCTGGGAGCCCTCGTCGAGCCGTTTCGGGAGTCCTTGGGGGGATGTCGGGGGCCTCTTGGGGCTCTCTTGGGCCAGCGTGGGGCCGTCATGTGCAGTCTTGGGGCACTATCGAGCCGCTTTGGGATTCCCTGGAGGGCCTCTTGAGATGTCCCGAGAGGAGGCGCCGTGTGAGGCGGGGCCCAGGGCCTCCTGGAGGCTGGGGGGCTACCAGAGCAGGCACGGACAATCTATCGAAAACTCGAACGGTTTTTCCGTGTGTCCCTAGGAATGGCCTCAAACACACCATGTTTGTGGAAATTCTCAGACGGCGGTGTCCTGGGAGGTTCGCGAAGACGACCCTGCAGGGGCGGCGGCGTTGACGGCATACAGCCACCCCCAATGGTTTTGGCGCCATTCAAAGGGACACGCGGGGAAAACGTTCGGTTGTCAGCGTTGTTTAAGGGAACTCACTAGGACGGCACAGCGAGGTGCAAGCAGCACGCGCAGCATGGCGCGATGAGGTGCTCTGGGCCATTTTTTGTACCCCGCCCGTTCCCCCGGGCGAGGGCGCGCGTGTCTCGGTGCTGTCGGCGCCGCGCGCTCGACTCTCGGAAAAGCGGACGCGATGCGCAGTCTCCCAAGGCTCTGGCCCGACCCTGCGCACGCAGGAGGGCGTCCTGCCCCAAGAGGGGTCGCAGAAAGCACCTGGTGGATGCTACAAGGAGGGGGTACGTTGTAGTATCCATGTGGTCGCCGATTCGGGCTCCCTGGGAGCCCTCGTCGAGCCGTTTCGGGAGTCCTTGGGGGGATGTCGGGGGCCTCTTGGGGCTCTCTTGGGCTGGCGCGGGCCGTCATGGACAGTCTTGGGGCGCTAAGTAGCCGTTTTGGGATTCCCTGGGGGGGTCTCGGAGGCCTCTTGGGGCCGTCTTGGGCCGGCTTGGGACCGTCTTGGGCAGTCTTGGGGCGCTCTTGGGCCGTCCTGGGGCCTTCTTCGGGGCCTCATGGTGGGTCTCGGGGGGGCCGTCTGGGGCCGGCTTGGGGCCGTTTTGGGCAGTCTTGGGAACTCTTGGGCCGTCCTGGGGCCTTCTTGG